GAAATTAAAAGAAAAAGGCGGCGGCGGCAGGGCGGGGATCTGAGATAGAACGCAGGGAAGTTGCACGTGGTTTGCTTTTTTTTAAAAAAGGGCAGCCGAAGCGGTAGGTCAGTGAAATAAATTCTCCCTCCTCCCGGGTCAGGGCGGAGCTGTGACATTAAAAATAACTGCGTGGCAGTTGGAAACTTCTGCGCGGCGTTTTCTTGTCACATGCGCGGGCGCGCAGCTGCGCACCTTAGAGGGAACACTGCTGACAATAACATTTATTTATTTATTTATTTATTTATTTAGGACATTTATTTAGGACATTTATATTACCTGCCGCCTAGTCACACATGGCAACTCAAGACAGCTTACAAGAATATAAAAACATCATATAAAAAACAATAAAAACTAATAAAATAGAGAATCATATATAATAAAATACACCCCCCCCCGCAACAACACATCAAGCCATTTAATGGGCTCCATCCCTCCCTGCTTTCCCCAGGCCCGCTGGCAGAACCAGGTCTTCAGCACCTTCCAGACGAGTGTTAGAGTGGGGGCATTCTAATCTTTTGGGGAATGATGTTCCAGAAAGAGGGAGCCACACCACCATGGAGAAGGTTCTTTTTCTGGGTCCCAACAGGTGTATCTCCTTAGGGGATGGGATCTGCAACATTCCTTGCCTCCCTGCTCTGGTGGGTTAGGTAGATGTGATTGGCACGGTCCCTTTTGAAAGATTTGGGATTGGAAAGATATACTGATCAAGTCAAGTTCAGCCCTCTTCTTACAATTAAATTGAAATGTTAATTGGCAGTTCTAAATGTATTAATATCATGGGTGAATTTTCCAGCATGCTGGAACTAATTACAATTAAGAAAGGAACAATAATATGAAAAAAACAATTCCCACCTCAAAATTAGCATTATTAAGAAACTTTTTCTTGCAGAAATGTACCTACTTTTGTGTGTTTGTGTGTTTGTGTGTGTGTGTGTGCAAAACTGCAAAAGTGGTTTTCCATTATCCATTTCAGGCTTCACGTTTCTGAGTTCTATAATCTCCCAGAACTTGAAATGCACACTTAACATTAGAACCATCATTAAAAAGGTACAACAAAGAATGTTCTTATGTGTCAACTCAGAAAGCTCAGGTTACCCAAGGAACTGATGATAACAGTTCTACGGTGGAATTATCATGTCTGTCATTTGTACTTCTATAACTCTCTGGTTTGGCACAGCAACCAAACAGGACAAGTATAGACTTCAATGAATAGTTAGGACTGCACAAAAAAACAATTGCAACCAGTCTTCTATTGAGGACCTATATACTGCACAAGCTAGAAAGAGGCCTGAGAAAATATCTACAGGC